TAGGGTCGCTATGAGTCGCAGGCGACTCGACGGCACATAACAACAACAACATATGTATGAAAGTGGAATACTAAGAATTGATGGAAGAGGATTACCTTATGATTCAGTCCTTAGCTACTCTAATTTTACGCACAGTTGATAAATTTTCACTGGATTTCCCAAGTGGTATCTAAATCATGTATGTCTTCTGCTTCTCTTCTTCTCTATCACACACATTATTTATCCATATAAGACAAAGCAGAGAAAAAGAAATGTAGGTGTAGTATACTTAGAAGTTTAACTTTAAAATAATTTTATTACCATGGTTAGAAAAAATAGACCAATATAATTTTGTTTATAGTTTTGCCTCCCTCTCTTAAGGTATTTTGTTGTAATAAATCTTTCTGTAGAGATTAACTGCACAAAATGATTTTTTTCTTCTATTTTAGGAAAATAATTTGAGTGAGTGAAAATTAAAACTGTTCTTCCTTTTTTCATTTGCAAAGAGCCAAACTGACATCAGATGCAGAAAAGGAATCAGTAATGATGTTTGGACGGAATCTTCGTCAGCTTCTTTTAACAAGTCCTGTTCGAGGGCGCACCTTAATGGGAGTGGATCCTGGTTATAAACATGGTTGCAAATTAGCTATAATTTCTCCTACCAGTAAGTAGACTTACTTTTTTATATAACAGCTATTCAATTAGCCATAAGTTTCACTTTCATTTTATGTATTTCATATAGATTTAAATGTATTTACTTTCAAGGATTTAAGATAATTTTCATACAAATGGGAGTATTAGAGTAAGAGTATTTTTTTATTTTTTATTTGTCTTATTTGTTGACAAAACTTTAAGCATATTACCATGATTTATGCCACAGTGATATTATTGAAGATTAAATGATCCTAGATGTTAGAAGTCTTAAAGTATGTGTATTCACTCATCAACTTTTGATTATTCTTGATCAGATTGCATTTAATTGCATTTTAATTTTGTGTATATTTTAAATATTTTTTAAAATTTGTGCAATCAATGCTTTTCCTGATTTACTTATAAAGTTACCCTTTTTAATTACTGTTTCTTTCTACATTTCAATTAAAATCTTTTTTTTCCCCTGTTTTAACAACTCTATTATTTTTCATGATTCATCTTATACAAATACTGATGCCATGGAGGTCTTTTGGATCATGCGCTGAAATTTCCCTCCTTTATTTTTCTGAAAGAGGTGTTGAAGATTAGAAAGCTATTTTTTTTTACTGTTTTAAGGGAGATGTGAGTTGATATTTTAATAGCTACAGCAATTATATTGGTTACAATATAGTTATTAAGAATTTTGAGGATATTTCTTTAGTCTTTTTTGTAGTAAATAAGATATTTTAAAGAATATACTTACTTGAACTCTTTTTTTCTAAGTTGCCCTAAGTTGTAAAGAATATTTTTGTCTTTTTCTGTGCTTATTTTCTAGTTTTATCTTTTTTCATTTTAAATGTTTCTTATCTGAGCTCTCCATCTTTTCTTTTTCTTGGTTAATACCAGTGGAAGTACATTTGTAATTGCTTTTAAAGATTTAATTATTTTTTTTAGTCCCTTCCCCCCCCCCCAATTTCTTGAATTCTTCCTTTTAACTTTTGCATTTTCATCCTCCTGTTTTGTGATCATTCTATTGTTCTTTCTCATTTACTAATCTTTACTCTTTTAGTGGTTGCTCTCAAAATAGAATTTTAAATAGCGGATTGGTAAAGACTGAGAACTTACGTATGCACACCCACTTACATACATAAATAAGCGCATCTAGTTCGTCAAGTTAGAACTGGCTTATTGCTGACCCTCCTTTGTGTTTCTGAGGCTTTAAATTGCCTGGCAATAGGTTGCCTGTCTTCCAGAGTCACTGGTGAATTTGAACCATCAGAGAGGCTTAACGCTTCAGGTTAGCATTGATATTCCCTATAGGCTATGCTACTCAAGCTCCATGTATTTCTGTGTAATATACCATTAAGAATTGCTATATAGTGAACAAATTCAAATATCTGGTACTCAAATCAAGAAATAGAGTGCCAAACTGATGTCTTATATATAAGAACTATTTAGTAAATCTTAACTCTGGTGGCCTATTGGCAAGAAGCTGAACTGTAATTCTGAAGGCATGTAGTTTGAGACCATCAACTGCTCTGTGGGAAAAGGATGGACAATCTCTTCCTGTGTGATGTCTTTGAAAACCTACTGGAGGGTCAGCTGTGGATTGGTTCTGTATCCACGGCATACAACAACAACAACAGTAACAGAACTTAACTTTTGTTATTATTATTAATGTTAAATGTTTTTAAATACTTTTTAGTTTTAGTTATAGGGCTTATTCAGTTAATTATGATTTTATGTAAGCAAAATAAATCTTTTTGATTTTGACATGTTGAATGGAATGATCCTGATGGTATTTAAAAGGACAGCTGAGCTAGTCCCCTTTTTGTTACTTCTTGTCACATTAGACCATTAGAGTGTTGTGTTCTATAATTTATGATGAAATGACATATTCTCTTCATTTCTTCTAAGGTCAGATACTTCATACTGATGTGGTGTACTTGCATTCTGGACAAGGCTTCCGAGAGGCAGAGAAAATAAAGAAACTTTTGCTGAATTTCAAGTATGAAAATGACTGTTTCTATACCTCTTTATAATTTATCCTATCATAAAATCATTTGTAGCCCCTGATTTTGAGGGAGAGAGTCACAAAAGTGCCTCGGTGGTAAAGAAAATAAAACAGTGCTGGGGTCAGTTGCTAGAACACTCTATATATAGAAATTCCAGAGGAGCATTAATTCCTTCCTTTTGCTACCATCCCGAAACAGGTGGTATCGTAAGTCATTGTGAGCATTTCTATGTGCTCTACCATGCATTTGAGGAGTGGAAGCAGTAGTAGTTAGGAGCGTCACAAGTTGTCCAAAGTTTTTATTTGATTTAAAGTTTTAGTTTGTATTAAAATTTAGAACACTTCAGAGTTTATTTACCCATATCTAATTTTGATTCCTTCCAGATGGGAGAAAAACTATTTAGATTGTGTACAGTAAATATTTCTCTACTGTCTCCTGAATCTAACACAGTGGTTTACTTAAGACAGTGTCTTTTATTCTGTGTGAGTCATGGTTTTCCTCATAAAACCATGGAAAATGTGCTTTGACATGAAAGAATAAGAGCATCTCATAATAGTATTTGTGTATTCTGTACGTTTTCTCTTGGCTGATTTCAAAACATGACTTGAGCTCATCCAGTTTCTCATCCTGTTTTTCCCTTGAAGTTGTAGCACAGTGGTGATTGGAAATGGAACTGCCTGCCGAGAAACAGAAGCTTATTTTGCTGACCTGATAATGAAAAATTACTTTGCACCACTGGATGTTGTTTACTGGTAAGGATGTTAGGAAGGTCTGTCTGTTTGCTTGTGATATGTGGGAACTTCTAATGTTCATTCTGTGGTGACTTCTCCTTTCTCTTATAAAGAAAGATACACTTTTTGTTCCCTCCAAACCATCTTGATATTCACAAGAGCTTTGCCATTGTGAAAGTCTGACCCTTGGAGGAATTTGTGACAGAAATAATTGAAAAAGCAAGATGGTTTTCTGAAACCTGTCACAGAAGTAACAAGTTAATGCTAACTTAGTCTAGTGGAACACCGTGCTGACCTCCCTGTTCCATCTTCATGTCTGTGATTGGTTGAGATTTGGTTTGTGTTCTGTAGAACTCTTGTTAGCTAATTTTCAAAAGCCAGGCCTTTCTTCCTGGCTCATATTAAGGGAGCCCTGGTGGTGGCTTAGTGGTAAGGAGTTGTGCTAGTGTTGTGAAGGTGTGTAGTTTGATTCTCCCATTGCCAGGCCTTTCTGCTGAAACCTATGCAAAATCATCACTGCCATCAAGCTTATACTGACAAAGATGAAAAAGACATGCACCTGAGATGCCTTTTCTAGCAATCAAGCACGAGCCTCCTGCCTGGAGGATGAGAGTGCTGCGGCTGAACCACCACTGCCTTCTTCATTCTAGGATAGTGTAGTTAGAGCTGAGGTCCAAGGGAATGTGCTGAATAGTGTGTTGTGAAATCTAATGACTGAAGAATATTCGACTGATGAGGAAGTTATTATAATCAAGGAAAAACCCAAAAACGACCAGGGAGGAAAATAATTCCAGTCTTTTAAGGTAGGCCAAAAGGATGGGGTTTGCATTTAGATTTTGTTGCATCAGATTTTGTGTGTTAAGAATTGAATCAAGGTAAGTTAGAAATATAAATTCGGGATAACCAAAGAAGATGAGATCAAAGTTAGAGACAGACTAACGGCTGTGGCATCATGGATCTGGGAAGAAACACATTGAAAAATGTATCTCAGCTTTTCTCACTGCCCTTCTTACTGTTAGGCAGGTTCGCCCGAGGAAGACTGTGGATGCCGGCCTACGCTCAAATCTGCAGAGATGTACCCAGTTCTTTCGAGAACAAAATACTTCAGGAACTATCATAATTGATCCAGTTTATGTCAAGATAGTTGTCTGATTTCATTTCACTTCTTCAGGTTAATTTGATGTAGACCGTCAAATCTTTCATATCATTTTTGACATCTTCCAATTGTTTTTAAATTCATACTTTGTATAGTTAGTTCACTTTCCAATTTATCCTAGATGTTTATAACTGTTTCTTCTCGGAGTTGGACCATATAATGAATTGAAGATCCCCAGCAGTACTCTGTAAGCATTGTTAAAAGTGATACTATTTTGAGAAGATAACTCTGCTCCAGTTGTACTTTGAGTGCGGCTCATCTTCTGCCATTGTTAGACAGTGCTCCACTGCTATTCATGAGGGAAGAATATGCTGGGTATTTCTAAAACCCAGGTACTTGAAGAAAAAAAATTCAAAACTTCAGTTGCAGCCTTGTGGCATTCTGTGAAAATATTGAACAACATAGGTAATACCAAAAGAAAATGTAAAGAATATAGAGACTCACTTTATCAGAAAGTCTTAGTCAACATTCAACAGTTTCAGGAGGTATCATATGATTGGAAACTGATACAGGACGAGTTCAAGTTGCACTCTAGGAGTTGGTAAAACCAGTACTCCAGGAACTCATGCATATTAAGAAGTATGATGAAACAATACAACCCTGATGCACACTTTTCCTGAATTGAAAGTCTGCGGTATCTCTGCTCTTGTAATTTGCTCCTGCATGCTGCATAGTATTCCATCGTGTAACTGTACCATAATTTATGAATCCATTCCTTTATGGTTGGACATTTGGGCTTTTTCCATGTTCTTACTATGGTAAATAGCACTGCTAAGAATACTGGTGTACAGATCTCTGCTTGTGACTCAGTTCTCATTTTCTCGGAATATATTCCAAGCAATGGAATAGCTGAGTCATATAGAATTTCTTTGTTCAGCTTTTTGAGCAAACACTAAAATGCCTTCCAGAGCAGTTGTACCATTTTATAATCCTACCAACTGTGTAAAGAGTTCCAATCTCTCCAACATTTATTACTTGCTGTCCTGTTAAACTTTGCTACTGCTACTGAAATGAGATGGTATCTCATTGTCATTTTGATTTGCATCTCTCTTATTGCCAGTGATTTTGAGTATTTTGTCATGTATCTATTGGCCGTCCAAATGTCCTCCTCTGTGAAGTCTTTCCATGTCTCTTGCCTATTTTGTAACTGAATTATCAGTCTTTTTCTTGTGGAGGCCCAGGACTATTCTGTAAACTTTTGTTATGAGACTCTTGTCTGAGATGGTATTGCCAAATGTCTGTTCCCCATCAGTAGATTTTATTTTCTCCCTGTTGGAAAAAGTTTTTGATGAGCACAGAGGTTTAGAAGATCCCATTCAATCTGAAGATCCTCTTCAGATTGTGCGTTTGTGGATGTGTTTGTTAGTCTCTTTTTACCATAGACTAGGCCTTCTAAGCTTGATGCCAGTTTGTCTGTTACGAACTTTGTGGTTTGGGGCTTTATTCCCATGTTCTAGTCTTTTTTAAGTTATCTTTATCCATATTTTGCTTGCATGTGCTATTAATTATATCACTAATTTTCACTTGTGCACTTTATAGGCTCTGACAACCCGCCAGAGGGTTAGCTTTGAGTCAGTTCTCATTCAGTGGCACAGCAACAAGCACATGATGAATTACACTGCAGAGCACAAGAATCCTTCTATGTTATTGTGTAGTGTCACGTCAGAACTGACTCAAAGCTGACCCTCCCATGAGTTTTCAGAGACAATAATTGCCTGGGAGGAAATCACCTATTTTTATCCTGCAAAGATAAATGGAAGGGGGAAAACTGAAGTTATGGAAGGTTTTATTTCATTTGAGTATTCAGACAGTACCTGTGGAAGCATTACTCAGTAAGTGAAATGAGGTATTGTACTGGGAAAATTTGCTACAAAGGATCTTTTTAAAGTGTTAAAAATCAAAGGTGTTATGTTGAAGACTAAGATTTACCTTACCCCATAAAAATACGTGTGCCTCATGTACTTGCAAAACTTGCACAGTGCGTAAGGAACTGGAGAACAATTTACATGTTTGAATTGTGTATTGGCAAAGAATATTTATGTTGCCTTGGACAGCAAGAAGAAAAATATAGACTGCCTTGTATCTTTTAATCAATGCTGGCAAAATGCCTTTTAGAACCGAAAATAATGAGACTTTGCCGCATATGTTTTGGGCATAGTATCAAGAAGATCCTGTACTTAGAGAGGACTTCATACTTAGAAAAGGGCATGTGAGTAAGGAGACCAAGTTGACAATGTGACTGCTTCCGTGGCCTCAGACGTATTAGTGAGTAGGAGACTGGGCCGGACTGGACAGTGTTGGTTCATTTGTACATATGGTTGATATGAATCAGAACCAACTCAGTGGCACTTTTGAACAAGACCAAGTCCCATAGGTCTTTGGATGTTGATAAAAATATGAGTCTTATTCAAACTCGTGACAGCTGTTGTGACATAAGTATTTGGTTTCTGGAGCTAAACTGGCTGAATTCAGGTTCTGCTACCTCTGATTTACAGCAAATTCTTAAAACTTCTTTTTAGGTTCTTTTTTTCTATAGTAATGTTTATTACTGTTGCTGTGAAGATTTGGAGTAGGATTTGTTAAATATCTTTTTTTTTTTAAAGCAAAAACTTATTCATCTCAAACATTATCTCACAACAAAATACTGGGGCAGACTTTACAAAATCAACAGTACATAACAACAACAACAACGACAACAGCATTTGTATATGAATCAGTTTTCATTTTACTTATGTCTCTGTCTTTTTGTTTCTCTTTAAATGTACATACATACATCTCTCTGTATAAAATGTCTGGGTTGTTATCAAAGCCCATTGATTAAGTGTATTTGGTTTTGTAGATTATGATCAGGAATGTTTGAGAAACAATGCTATATGGATCCAATTTTTGAACCCTCAAAAATGCATTTAAGGAAGACTAGCCTGTAGGTGTCTCTAGGGAGAATTTAGAAAACTGCTAAAAACACAGTTAAGATGACCTGGTAAAATTACAAAGGATTCTTTTAAGGGGAAAAAAAATAGAACAACTGCATTCAGAATATCCTTAAACTAACATTGTAGTTTATTAGCACTTGGGGAGATCCTTCACAGCAGATTACCCCCAATGCAATGTGTCTTTTGATTTATTGACTGCTACTACTTTGGTGTTGATTGTGAATTGAAGTAAAACTAAATCCTTTGCAATCCCAGTATTTGCCCTCTCTATTGTAATATTGTCTCTTGGTCTGGTCGTGAGAATTTTATTTTCTTGATATTGAAATATAATTCATATTGAAGGCTGTAGTTTTTGATATTCTGCAGCAAGCATGCCAAGTTCTCTTTACTTTCAGCAGGATTGTGTCATCTACGTTATGCAGGTTGTTGATGAGTCTTTCTCCTGATGCCACATTCTTCTTCGTACAGTCCACCTTCTCAAATGAGAAAATTCCCAGTATGTATGAACTTTTGGATCCCAGTCATTTTCTGGTGGCTGTGTTTTCAAAGTGATGTGCTCTATCTAGAAGATGATTAATGCTGCATATTACATTTAAGGGGCTTAAATACAGAAAGGATAAAGCAGATATTAGGTGCAAGTACATATCAAGAAATTTAAAGAAATGTAATACTAAAAAATAAAAGTTGTTTCAAATTTGATGTAACAAACACCTTTCTACTCCATTGAAAAATAAAGGCAAAATTATTAAGTTATAAAAAGGGGGTTTATGCGCACTTACTAGATGCCACAAGCTCCTGACACATGATGATGACCTTATGTATGAGATCCAACTGTTTCTGTTTTGGTCTGTAGAGTGTTGAGTGGCTGATTTGGTTTTTGGTGGGTTTTTTTTTTGTCCATTGATACCCTTAGGATTAATTAATGTACTTAA